GAAATTGGTGGGGGGGGGGGGGGTCCATTTTGGGCACCCTTATGTCCCCTTTTATGTATCCCTAGAATAACCCATGCGCAAATCGTAGGAACCTTGTGAACAGATTCAAGCTCCTTAAGTGCAGTTTGTCTTTCTTGAAGCCTTACAGTGCGATTCCTGGAATAACTTTGTGCAAACTACCAACTAAAGCAAAGTTATTATACAAGTTTCACCAGTCAAAAACATAATAGTCGATAACAACTGAAGGCGACAAGTAGAAATTTACCTGAGTAAGGTCTTGAGATGAAATGTTGTCGTCCACATCAACTGGACTAAGTATGAAAATTATTAATTCTGCTGGGCACAACGAGGAAACTACTAGTTTTCCACTAGCTAACTAGAACTGTTCATCACTTAAAGCTTCCTGTAAAATTTGATCATAAAATATGGATTGTTAATTTAAGAAAGTATTTGTGCAAATATGGTCAGAATTTTCATTGTTTTGAAATACATTATTATAAGAAAAAAGACATTATCTTTTGATCAATGCTGTGTACAGAAATTTGGTTCACAGAATGCCACAGAATACTCACAATAGGAAGGTGATAGGTATTTTTTGGCATTTTTTTATTACACCATGGGATCCACCCATGTGAGTGTCTAGAAAAATTATGTGAGGCATCCTTCTGTACACAGCATTTTAGTTATCTTTTACCCAAAAATACAAATTTACCTGGAAAACGAATTTAATTTGTCAGAATAATAATAAATCTACTATATATAATAAAAGCAAAAGTCTTCCCATCTTGGAAGAAAGGAAGTGAATAGGGAAATGTTGGTATTTCTTTACAATCAGCAATGAAACAATTTGCTGACAACTTGCATTCTTCAGAAAAAGTTCCTGGGAGCAAATATTGGAAAATGGGGGATCAAAAAATCAAAAAATATCAAAACCAGGGTTCAGTGGAGGTCTATAATATGAAGCTGTTTCAAGCGGCAAGAACCATTATCTCCATCACATGCCCAAAATAACGAACGCTAACATACAGTCCAAAATAGTAGGTAAGAGGCAAGAGTATCATCTATATTAAACTCCAGGTTGGAGACGGATTTCTAGCACGCTTTTCTCTATCGATCTTTTTATCTAATCCAATACCAATTTGTTAGAGGAAATATGAAATTATAGGCACAATATAAAATAAAGATCACAAAAATACAAGAACTATGTAATTTGCAGAGAATGAAGATTTTATTATAATATGGAGAAAAAATACAAAGATTTTGCGTTTACAATGTTTCGAATTTCTTTCTAATCATAATGAAGAGTCAACTTTATACAAGGAAAAATAGGAGACGTCAAACGTTAGGATAGAAATGAAAGCTCAAAAGCCGTCACCACGCGAAACAGCCCTGTACCGGATAACTACACCGCTTGAGCACCAGGCAAGCGGTAGCTCCACTGTTCGAGCGCCAGGTAGGCACCAAGTCTCTGTTGAAATTTTAAAGACGTCGCTCGAAGCGGCTAGCTAGCGAAATTGCTCCAATTTTCCTCTTCGGTCCATAATTTGATCGCTTCAAGTCAACTAGAATTTACAAAATAGATTTCAAATAGAATTCCAAAAAACATTTCAAATAGAATTAGGATCACACCCTAATTCTAACATAATCTTCTTTCATTTGCATCTAGATAAATAGTTGTAAACTTATACATTAAAATCATAGTTACTTAAATTTAATCATCAATTGCGTGTTTATTCATTTTAAGCTTGAATAGATTGAATTTAACCTAAAATAAAATCGTTGTGAGAATGATACTCTTCTTAATCACTTATAATATTACTTGTTAAATAACCCATTCGCTTGCAGAAATTTCAACCAACACTAAGAACTCAAAAATGATTTGCCTAATTTATCCCAAGCAAGCCAAATCTCTTGGGGATTGAATAAATATCTCAAAATAAGGGATGTCATGAGATTTGTAAGAGTATGTTTAATGAACAATATCAAAGCCTCGAATGAGAAAAATATCGGGGGTTCGAACAATGACGGGATTGAAAGAGCTTTCTATGTCCCTTGTCGGTAAAAATTAAAATTAAAATTTTAGTTTAAATCAAAGTCAACAATTAATTTTAATCACACATTTTATTAAATTTACATTTTTTCAGTTTTAAATCATACATTTCATCAGCTTTTATTAAAATCTACTAAAAAATTGATTTTAATCCCTACCAAACGAGAAATGACATTGGATTGAAAGAATATATGGGATTAAAAGAGCATCCCTCAATGGTTTAAGATTGAAAGAATATTTGGTGTTGGATTTCTAGGCAAAATTATTAGGGATTGAAAAAATATTTCTGATATAAATGGCCACACAACTATTATTTTGTATTTGTTTGATAGTTGTGTTGCCTTTTTGGTTTTGATTCGATTTCATAAACAAAATTATTAATACAGCTTAAATTACAAAGTTCAATTACCAAAAGTTAAAACTGACATCCAAATTCAAAACTATAAATCCCATTCAACAAAAACAAAACTTCCATCTTCATATTAAATATTGTCTAGTAAAAATTGTTCATCAAAATTACAAATAAAATAATAAATAAATAAAAAAGTAAGGTTATAATCGATCTTGAATCTGGGTACAAAAAGCTTAATCGAACCAAAATCAACCGATTTTTTGTTCTAAGAACTAGAACTCTAAATCCCATTAAAAAAAAAATAAAAATAAAAAATAAATAATAAAAAATCCCATCTTCATATTAAATATTGTATAGTAAAAATTGTTCACCAAATTACAAATAAGATAATAAATAATAAAAAAGTAAGGTTTTAATCATTCTTGAATCTGGGTACTAGAAGCTTAATCGAACCAAAATTGATCAGTTCTTTGCGATACGAAGTAGACCTGTTTAAATTTAAACCAAATCAAATCAAACTTGTCGGTTCTGACGTGGTTTGATTGGTTTCGATTCTTTTGTCAACACCCACATGCATTAGCAGAGCTATGTTTGAGTCTCATGCTGTTATGACAAATCAATGTTTTACTTTTAATAAATAGAACTTTTTTATTCGAAAAATATGTATGAGTAATATGAACTTTGTTAAGTAACACAAACATTATAATAGCAAAATTAATTTATAATATCAGTAATGTGTAGACATGGAAAATATATTATAGACATTTTAATATTTAATTTCCTTTAATGCTTTAAATAAATGTTCAGGATTTAATGAGATTTATAATTTTGAGAAAGTAATAGCGCTGTTCTACAAAACTTTGACTATTCAACAACATATGGTATTAAATTATTAATAATTACCTTATAATCTTTATCCTTTGTCAAATTAATTATTTTTTTTTTCTTCTGAAAAGGCCAAAATTAACTATACAGTTTATCTTATACATGACGTTTTCTTGTATTATAATTTTATGAACAATCTTCAAAAGAGGCACGAATATCCTTCATTGACCAAATTTAGTGCTTGTTTGTTATAGATTAAAAGTTAATTATAATTAATTTTTTGACCGTTATTTTACTATTCCAACCATCATTTTTGAATTCATCTATCATACGTAGGACTCACTTTATTCCCAATGGTCAAAAAATCAATCATCAAAATCCCTACCAAATAAACTCTTAATTTTTAAACTACTTTTCCAGTATCCTTTCATTTATTTTGGGTTATTTGAAAATGTCGTGGTTTAGTCTTTTATTTTTACTAATTACTCAAGTCAAAATCGTCTGTTATTATCTGTTTCACTAAGCTCTTGTTTAACAATCATTAAAACAACATTCTTATTTTATTCCTTTTACCGAACTCATTTTTAACAATATATTCTTACAGTAAAATATTTTGTATGTAAACTCAAAACTTATTCCTACTTTTTAATTACACATTTTACAAGAAAATCAGTACTTCAAAAATTATTTTCCTCAAAAAAAATCTTGTAATGATTGTCAAATAAGTGCTACAATAATGCTATTTAGCATTATTCATTAAGCTTAGTACTAATGTATCCATTGCTAGGGTCAACAGTCTACTGCTTATTACAATTGAGTTAGATAAGAAATCACAATTGCAGACGTTTGACTTTCTGTCATTATAGTGATGTCATTTTTTAATTTATTATTTTTTCTTTTCACGGGCGGGGCGTTCCTACCCTACGCCACCAACTCGTCGGGTGGATTTTTGCCGCCTCATTCGAGGCGGGGGAAGACAAAATCGGAACGAGGCTAATTGTCATCCATAGTACCTTCTAGACTAGTGCTATATGGCTTTATTATTTCGACTCCAAGAACAAATTTTTTAACTTATAGTTGGTGTTAAAAAGGTGTGACAGCCCATATGACCTTCGTAACAGTACCATATTCAATAATTGATCAAATAAGTTGCTGAGCTACAAGAAATTATAATTTTATTCCAACATAAATTAATTTTACAAAAATTGCAATACTTTACACAAGAGCACCACCTATGACATACTCAGTAAATGCCAAAGCAACCAAACCCACCATAGCAAATCTTCCATTCCACAACTCAGCATCAGATGAAAACACCCCATTCGATTCAGATTCTGCTCTAACCCCTTTGAACAGAGGAATCAAAGAAGCTGCAGTTAGCAAAGCAGAAGTGACTATGAACCATTGAACTCCACCATTTTGTATCTGTGCAAACACATCCTGACCGTTGAATAGCTCGACACCAATGGCCGTTACGAACCCGATCATCGCTAGCCGGCCGTTGATCCTCTCCGGTCCCGGCCCGCTGAACGCTAGTATGTCACCAAAGTTGGTACTAACCTATCCAAATCAAACAAAGAGAGAGTCATTCAGAAGCCATCTCGACAGATGTATTTGATTTGACTTTCGCTTTTAGTTTTATTTTTCGTAATTCAGAGTTATCTTAATGATGTAAGAATTAATTTTTAATTAGAAGAAATATTTTTATAAAATTACTCAGACGAGTCTATAATCATCTTTCGAATCTCAAAAGCTATGTCAAACATGTCCTTAATATATGGTTCGAATAGTAAGTTAATCCCTAAGACCCTAACCTTGGGCTTCGACGGGATTGACTTCGGTGGAGCTGCTGACTCTAACGGCTTTGAGGGTGTCGGCTCCGACGAGTCTCTCTCTTTGTCCTATTAAATTCAGAGATGAAGAAATAGTTATATCTACGATTGCATATCAGACGTGCACTTAAAATTTACCCGTGAAATCAAGATCGAGTTACCTCGGCCATGCTGCTGACTCGAAAAATGGCATTCCTTTTGAGACTGGGCAAGTAGCTGGGAACGGCAAAATGATTTAGACCACTTCTTTTTGTAATTGCAGTAGCTGGGTTAAGTAACATAACACTTGATACTGCGGCCATGGTGCGTTTCAATGTATACAAAATTTAGACTAAGGAAAGGGGAATTGAGAGTACTGATACAAAGGTTTTCTTTAGTATTTGATTTGAGTTGGGCGATGCTGTCGAGGTTGATTATATAGAGAATGCATGAGAGAGCGTGGGTGAATTTAATCTGCAGTCATTGAGCTTTAAGTGAAATTTCGATTGTGTAACTAAACTTTAATTTGTTTCGATGTGGTTATTGAACTTCAATTCATTTGCAAATCGGATAACTGAACTTTAATTTAGCTTCTGTTTAGTGGGATAAAAACCATATTTTTTTAGTAGATTTTGACGAAAGCTGATGAAATGTATTATTGAAAAGTTGTGAATTCCGTAATATGTGCGGTTAAAATTAATTGTTGATTTTGACTTAAGTTAAAATCTGAATTTTAATTTTCACCAAATAGGGACTTAATTTTTTTAAATTTTAACACTTTTGTTACTCTTCATTTTCCAAATTGATGAAAATTGCTTAATTGATAGTGATGCTGTAAAGAACCTTTATGAAATTTCTGATGACACGTCAATTTATCACTACGATATATCACAAAAGCTTAAGAATATGTTATTTAACAATTTAATCGAGATGATATTGCTATAATCCTTGTTCTATCCTATAGCGATTACATGAGAGATCGATCGTGACACGAGTGAAACTTGAAACTAAATTGATGTCCACAATAACCTAATTGAAAATTGAGTGATTGCACGTGAAATTTAGCCATGAAAGGACACAAAAGTGGTGGATATTGTTACATCCACGTAATTTCATATGGCCCGTTAAAGCTACAATGTCACGTGGGTTCATAATGTCACACAATCGATTTGGCGATTTGGCCATTATATTGACCACAAATTCAAGTGAATATGTTGTGGCTTAGATGGTTCAAGGTGGAAGTTTGAATTGTCACTTTCTTCATTAAAGGCCAAACAACTTTTCGCAAGCAGAGAATCAGAGGTTTTCATATTTAACAAGTATAGCACATGAATGATGACTACCACAAGAATAATGCCATCTAGCTGTTGAAAATTTACTAATGGACAACAAAATTTAATAATATAATTTAATTTTCACCGAAAATCTATTTTGTATTTAGAAAGTAATTGTGATAAGAATTACATTTTTAATTAATTTTGGAAAAAATAATTTCGATTTGTAATCTACAGTTATTCAATTGTCCAACTTCTAATGAAACTCCACACTAGAAACAAGAATGAAAGAATTAGGGTATCCCTTTTCTTGTGTTGGCAAGATAATAATTGTGTTGTGTTTTGTCAATCCTAACTCTTATTTATAGAAATTCAAGTGGACTTGACTCGATATTTAAACTTAATCCGATCTAATGTTTAATTAATCTAAATAATTAAACTTGGTCCATTAATTAATTAATCTGATTAATTAATTTGGTCCATTAAAAAGTAATTCAATTAATTAATTGTTCAACACTTGTCAATTCATTAATTAGTAAATATCACGGTCGTAGCTCTTCTTTTAATACAATTTAATTTTCACCGAAAATCTATTTTGTATTTAAAGAGAAATTGTGATAAGAATTATATCTTTAATTTATTTTGTGAAACATAATTCTGATTTATAATTTACTGTTATCCAATTGTCCAACTTCTAATGAAAGTCCACACAGGAAACAATAATGAAAGAATAGAGTCTCTCTATTCTTGTGCTGACAAGATAATAATTGTGTTATCTTTTCTCACTCCTAACTCTTATTAATAGAAATTCAAGTGGACTTAGCCTGACATTTAAACTTGACCAGATCTAATGTTTAATTACTCTAAATAATTAAACTTGGTCCATTGATTAATTAATCTGGTCCATTAAAAAGTAATTCAATTAATTAATTGTCCAACACTTGTCAATTAATTAATTAGTAAATATCACGCTCCTAGTTCTTCTTTTAATACAATTTAATTTTCACCTAAAATCTATCTTGTATTTAAAGAGAATTTGTGATAATAATTATATCTTTAATTAATTTTGCGAAAAATAATTTTGATTTATAATCTACAACTATCTAATTGTCCAACTTCGAATAAAACTCCACACAGGAAACAATAATAAAAGAATTAGGGTCTCATTTCTTGTGCTGGCAAGATAATATTTGTATTATGTTTTCTCAATTCTAACTCTTATTGATAGAAATTCAAGTGGACTTGGCCCGACATTTAAACTTAACTCGATCTAATGTTTAATTAATCTAAATAATTAAACTTGGTCCATTAATTAATTAATCTGATTAATTAATTTGGCCCATTAAAAATTAATTCAATTAATTAATTGTCCAACATTTGTCATAATAAAATTTAATTTTTATCGAAAATATATTTTGTATTTAGAGAGAAATTGTGATAAGAATTATATCTTTAATTAATTTTGTGAAACATAATTCTGATTTATAATTTACTGTTATCCAATTGTCCAACTTCTAATGAAACTCCACACATGAAACAATAATGAAAGAATTAGGGTCACTCTTTTATTGTGTTGGCAAGATAATAATCGTGTTATGTTTCTCAATTATAACTCTTATTAATAGAAATTCAAGTGGACTTGGCCCGACATTTAAAGTCAACCTTATCTAATGTTTAATTAATCTAAATAATTAAACTTGGTCCATTAATTAATTCACCTGATTAATTAATTTGGCCCATTAAAAAGTAATCCAATTTATTAATTGTCCAACACATGCTAATTAATTAATTAGTAAATAGCATTCTTTTAGTTCTTCTTTTAATACAATTTAATTTTCACTGAAAATATGTTTTGCATTTAGAGAGAAATTGTGATAAGAATTATATCTTTAATTAATTTTGTGAAAAATAATTCTGATTTATAATCTACAACTATCTTATTGTCCAACTTCTAATGAAACTCTACACAAGAAACAATAATTAAAGAATTAGGGTCTCTCTTTTCTTATGCTGGCAAGATAATAACTGTGTTATGTTTTCTCAATCCTAACTCTTATTAATAGAAATTCAAGTGGACTCCGCCTAACATTTAACCTCAACCCAATCTAATGTTTAATTAATCTAAATAATTATAAACTTGGTCCATTGATTAATTAATCTGATTAATTAATTTGGTCTATTAAAAAATAATTCAATTAATTAATTGTTCAACACTTGTCAATTAATTAATTAACTAATAAATATCAATCTTCTAGTTCTTCTTTTAATACAATTTAACTTTCACAAAAAAATATGTTTTGTATTTAGAGAGAAATTGTGATAAGAATTCACCATAACCATTAAAGATCTTATCAGGATAAAATGATCAACAATTATCCTTAACATTAATTAACAATTAATGTATAAACATGAATTAAATTAATGTTGGTAATTTATCTAATTTTAATACTAAGCCTGAAGGTAATGTAATGTAGCAACCACTACTCTGTTTTTAACGTGCAATTCCACTTCTCCCTTCCTACAGTGGTCTACTTCCTTTTAGTTACTGCATATTTGTACAAATATGAGATCCGTATCTAGTATCTAATATCGAAGAAGCTAATTAAATAGACATAAGTCCTGTAATTTCTCTTCCAATGACATTTTATTCTACAATGATATCAAGGATCAATAGACTTGATAATGTTCTTATTTATTTTTTACTATATTAACAATCTTAGATACTTTCCCAAATCCTCTTTTAGATTTCATCATAGTACCCTTAGAGGAATTAATGGCAAAGACTTGTCCACTACTAAAGTTTAATAATTTTAAGCATGTCAGCAACTTTGAGACTGTACACTCAAACTTATTTCTATTAAAATTCATAATTAGATATGATTGTTGACATGCCGTATGCCTTTCAAATTCATAGGTTATTCATAATTCAATAAACATAAAGGATGAAAGATTAAAAAAAATATTTAAAAATGCATCAATGAATTAAATATAGTCTTTTACTAAATTAATTATACTCCAACGGTTTAACTTAAATTTATGACCTACTCACATAAATGTATGGAATCCATACTTGACCCCATTGGGTTGCAATCTCATTTATTATATTAAGATCTTGAGTGTATTCAACAAATCTTAATAAAATACTTTAGTGGATACTGAAACACTCCGGAAATTTTATAGAATACAATTTATTTATTCTGTATGCTAGATATTTATATTTTGAAATTGAGGGACTAAAGTAAACTATGTTTTAAATTCTTATATTTTGTGTTAAATAATTATATTTTGATAGAGCAATTTTATTATGTCAATATTAGACTCTTTTTGTAGCTCTTAATTAATTAAAAGACTTCAAAAGGAGAAAATTTATTATGGATTAGACTACTTCAAGTTAAGTCCGATTAAAAGAATAATAGGTTAATAAAGTTGGCGGTTGCTTGCAATATTAATTAAGTAAAATTCTTTTCCTCTTTTAATTTCTACCACACATGTACTTTTTATTTGTCATGAAACCAATAGGGTAGTGCAATTCAAATATAACTTTTTGAAAGCAAGTCCAAATTGGCCATGTATCTTAAATTCAATGGGATGATTGTACTAGAAAACCAATAGTAGAGTCTACTACTAACTCTATTATTTGAAACCAATTCTTATTCAAATTTCGTCTATTACACAGTTTTTCAGTTCTAGTTGCATACAAACTTAATTGAGAATTTTCACTATAAATACTGCAAAAATTTCCATTATTTCACCACAAAAAATAAAGAGAAAGCTATGTTAGAGATAGAGAGAGAAAGAGAAGGAGAGAAAAGGGATAGAAAAATAATATGAGAATTTTCATGTATAAGATTTTATTTTCTTTTACAACCTTTTAGTAACGAGGTAAGATATTTTTGTCTAAGTAGGTTGTTTTTGTATACTTTTATAATCAATTAAATATGCATGAATTGTCAATGGTCATTCGAGTTCTTCAGAAAGAGATATCAAATCCTTCGAGAATTTAAGAGGATCTAAGATGAGTGTGTCGCTTGGTTACCGATATTCTAAATAAGAGAAGAATGGTATGAAGAGTATATTTTATTGTTATATAATTATGTATAGAAACTGCATGTAGTTTATAAGGTATTTTTAAATACTTATTCTTACATTAATT